GCTCCCTCCCCCACCATTTCCTCCTAGCGCCTTCCTTTTCCTCCTTTCGATTTGTTCCTAATTCACTTTCATCCACACCTTTACGGCCACACCTTCATGTGACAGGCTTTCCCTCCTTGAGAAGAGGGTGGAGCGCCTTTCCGAGGACATGCTCAGTTTCTCTCTGATCCCGATTGGGTTCCTCATTAATCCCTTGCTGTCGTCTGCCACTATTCATCTGAGCTGGCATTTTTGTTTGTTTGTTTGTTTCATTAATCAAACCTCTTCCTTTTCTTCCCAGAGCTGAGTGAATGCTCATGGGTATCTGATGACAAAGCCCAGGAACAGCGTACGTAAAGAATCTCCAAGTGGATGAGGCAGAGGAAGCTGCCTGGGTCCTCAATCCTCTACAAATGTCTGTCTATTCTAAAGCAACACATTGCCTCTTGCCTCGTTTCAATTTTCTACACATTTCTATGGATTAAACTAGCCATTAGCATGAGCCAAGGGATTTCTTTAAATTGGAATGGCAGTATTTGAGAACAATAGAATTTCAGAGCCACAAGGGGCCTTGGAGGCCATCAAGTTCAGTTCCCTTGAGTAGGAAGACAAGCAGGCTCGCCATGGTCACCTGGTGGAGTAGGAGCAAGATCATGGCCCCTCTGCCTTGCCATTCAGCCACCTGGCATCTACCCTAGGGTTCTTGCCATCAGTTTCAACTTATGCCTAATTCTTGATTTTAATTACCCCATTTGAAGAGAAAATTCACGAAACAGGCTCGGGAAATAAAAAACCGCCACATTCACGTAAGGCTACAGGCACCAGGAATAGAGGAGTCCGTTTCAGTTCAGAAAAATGCCATGTCCACACCAGGAAAGAAAATGTTGACCCAAATTTTTTGCTAAAAAGAGGGAGAGAGAAACAGCAATCTCCTATTTAAGAAACTGTCATTTTATCCTAAGGGTTTGTCACTGTGCTTCCTCTCAGTGGATCTTCCAATTAAATTGAGAGAAATGATTTTACCTAGTCGGAGCAGCAGGGACTGAAATGTTACGAAGAGTGGTCTTTGGAGGTGTGTTATTGGGAACTCAAGTAAACTCCTAATCGGAACCATATTTGGGCTCCCTTGGTTACTGAATAGAAATCTGAGTCATCTGGACAGAACTGGGAAGAACACTGGAATTGGGAAGTTGACATCAGAAATTCCAGCTCAGCACTGCTTAAGGATGATGTGCTCTCCCTAAGGGACTGACACCCAGAATGCCAGCAGGTAGACCCAGGTTACCCTGGCTTGGCAGCCTGTTCCTGTAGCTACCATGGCAGGTGGTAACAGTGTAAAGGCGTGGTCTACAGGAACTCTGGACCAAGTTCAGGGACAACTCTCCTAAGGCCAAGTTAGAAGCCTCCGTGCCTAGTATTGGGTCGATTTAACCAGGAACTCGGGGGTAGCGACTGGGTGTGCCTCTCTAAGTATGTATATCCAAGAATCTTAAATGCTCCTGAGCTTTTGTGTTAGGCAGCTATATGTATACATGTTGTAAATTAAAGAAGGAAACACATCATGTGTTTAGAAAATGAAATTCCTCCAAGTCAAATCATGTGGGTATAGCTGACTATGTATATAGTTTCAAAGCTTCAAAAATGCTCTTAGGCAATAATAATAATAATACAGATCCATCAAGTTTTATCCAAAATATTAAATAGGGTTAAGTGTTTAGAGGATAAGGAGCATTGGGTGGAGCAGCAACAACAAAAACAGAATAGATATTTTCTGGGTCGCTTCAGGACTGCAGAACTAGGAACAAAGAATAGAAATTATAGAGAAACCAATTTTGCTGGATTTAAGATACTAATAATTAGAGCTGTCCAGCGAAGGAGGATGAAGGAAACCAAATACTTTCCACACCGACGCTGCTTTTTTAGGATATTGGTTGTAAGCTGTTTATTACAAAACGAAAGAGTCAGAAAGAACATTTGACCCTCTCCTTTTACCTGCCCAGAGATTCAGACAGAAAAATCTACTGCAGGAATGAGATCTTAGGATGTTCACCTTAGCCTCATTTGAATTAAATATGGTAAATAAGAGGGCGGGTCTGTCAGCAAGATACCCTCTGTGTCCCACTGCTTCTGAGTCACCCAGCAAGAATTTTCCTGCCACTGTATGTTCTCTTCCTCAACTATCACCCATTCTTGCTTCTGAAATCTAATACCCCATCCTCCCCCTTTTCTCCTTTATCCAAAATGTCTTATATACCCAATGTCGTTTCACTGTCTTTAGAATTTTTTATGCTTCTGTGAATTTCCCATGTGCATGTATTAAACATCTGATTTTCTCCTGTTAATCTGTCTCTGTTGATTTGATTATCACCGCAGCTAGAAAGTAGAAGGTGGGAAGAAACGTATTAGTTTTTTTTTTAGCCCCTACAAGGATGAGCTGAGGTACTGAGCCCCCACCTCCTGGAAATTTTAAGGAAAGGTGAAATGGCCATCCGCCCAGTGTAAAAATAAGATTTCTGCACTTGGTAGGAATATAATAAAGCTGATCTTCAAAATCCCTTCTAAACTAAGAATTCGATGAACAAAATCAAAGATGGAATGTAACTAAATTTGCGTTGTGCCTTTTTCTGTGGCTATTTTCCGGATGTATTTCCCAGCAGGCTCTGAGATGTCTATAGAAAAGCTGTTTTGCTTCTCCTGTAAGCCTTCCAGGTCTCTGACTCCTCACTCTCCATTGATCTCAATGGGTCCGGTGTGAATCAGAACCACCCAGACGGCCAGACCAAGCCCAGAGGGTCTGCATCCGCAGGGCGGTCTCGATGGCGTCCAATCACTAGCCTCCCCTGGGAACGCTGGGAACTAGATGCGCCCACAGGGGTCTCCCGAGGGAAGCAGGAAGAGCTGAGAAAGCCGTAGCAAGTTTTTTCCGCGGTCTTTAGAAGGATATCCTTCCTTCCTCAGAAGTCTACCTCCTGGGAGGTAGCCAGCATCTGGTCTAGGATGCGATCTGCTCTGGGTTGGTCCTTGATGGCCTTCTGCCAACTCTCAGGACAGTTTAATGCCCTCGAACAATGTACAGTCTGGGGGATCCTCTGACCAGGACTCGAGACCGGATGTCCTGTTGCCCTCCAGACAGCACTCCACCCCTGCCCCACTCTTCGGAGTCTGGGGTGGAATTCGATCCTCCTCTGAGGGTAGGAGGCAGCGTGGGGGAGAAAATATAACCCTTGCATTTCAGTACTGTCCAAGACTTACAGCTGCAATCTAGAAAAACCGCCACAGCTAAGGTACTCTTTGACTACTTGGAGGAACAGGGAAAAGCAAGAATCAGAACAGCATTTTTTAAATGGCCCTCAAAGTCCAGGAAAAGTATATTACACTGTAGTTTATAAAACTAAATGCTGCACAAATAATACAATTCATGATGGTTTACGCCCCCGGAATTGTCAGTGTTTTCTATTTGCTGACTGATTAAATATCGCTTGTTAGTTTTAACCTGCACAGAACTAGATTTGCACTAGCTTCACAGAATACCATTACTACCAACTTGATAATGGCTTCCCTAATCCACATGCGTGTGATCTGGAAATAGTAAACGTTTTAAGCAAACGTGGGAATAATTCCCTGCATCTTAAGAAGTTGCCCTTGCTTTTACTCAATCATCTCCCTGAGGGCAGTTTTACTAGGCCAGTTGCCTGTACAATGAACACAGGCTGATTACATTTAAATCTCTTCCAACGAAATGCATTTCTAAAGGAAAAGTTTAATTTTGTCAGACAAGCTGCATCATGTCATTTTCCTCATCTTGTTTATGTGGGGGGGAAAAAAAATCTACCAGTATCTATGTTGAAATAGGCCACACCTCAACCAAAACGCTAACCTGAAAGAAAAAAAAAAAAAAAAGGCAAACAGAAATCACCCTTCTTCCTTTCTCCAGACTCACTTCATGATTAGCAGG